AGCATTTCTTCATGTGTCTGTTAGCTGCCTGAACATCTTCTTTGGTGAAGTGTCTGTTCATATACTTTGCCCATTTTTTAATTGGGTTATTTGTCTTTTTGTTGTTGAGGTTTTGCAGTATCTTGTAGATTTTAGAGATTAGACACCGATCGGATTTGTTGTAGCCAAAGATTTTTCCCAGTCTGTAGGTTGTCTTTTTACTATTTTGGTGAAGTCTTTTGATGCAAGCTCAATCTTTAGAAGCAAACTTTTAGCATCGACTGCAAATTCACTTTAAATATTAAACTACCAAATTAGTTAAAGAAAAAGGAAAAAAAAAAAAAAGACCTAGTGTTTCTTTTTTGTATAGTAGGTTGGAGCAATGAGAGGCACAGCTCCTAGCCTTGAGAAGTACATGGTGTTATAGGGCAGACAAGTAAAGACTGTATTACAACTGAGTGTACAAAGTGCTAATGATAGAGGTATGGCCCAGAGCACCATGGAAACATGGGAAAGAAGCAGGGAAAGGGGGAGTTGTCAGGGGGAAACAAGCTGCATTTTGAAGGTCTAACAAATCCATATAAAAGGTACACATGGAAAAGCACACGGATGAGGGAAAACTGATCCATGAAGAACTGCAAGTAGATGGGTACAACTATAGCAGCTCATTCACTGTCATGGATCGAATTATGTCCCCCCACAAATGTGTGTATCAATTTGGCTGGGCCATGATTCCCGGTATTGTGTGATTTTCCCATGTGTGGTAAATCCTGCCTCTATGATGTTACATTACTGAGGGAGGATGGGCAGCACTTGTGTTAGTAAGGCAGGACTCAGTCTACAAGATTGGATTGTATCCTGAGGCCATGTCTTGAGATATAAAAGACAGAAGTGAGCAGAGAAACGGGGACCTCATACCATCAAGAAAGCAGTGCCGAGAGCAGAGCGCATCCTTTGGACCGGGGTCCCTGCGCCAAGAAGCTCCTAGTCTGGGGCAACACTGATGAGAAGGCCAAAAGAGACAAAGCCTTCCCCTGGAGCTGACGCCCTGAATTTGGACTTTTAGCCTACTTTGACTGTGAGGAAATAAACTTCTCTTCGTTAAAACCATCCACTTGTGCTATTTCTGTTATAGCAGCACTAGATGACTAAGACATTCACATAGGGGAAAAGGCCTGACACAAAGCTGGAATGGGCATGGCTTAAATCATGATGGGCCATTTATGCCATACTAAGAAATTTAAATCTACCCTGAAGGCAACAGGATGCTATTCACAGAGCAACTCTAAGATCAATTTTGTGTTTTAGATAAATCTGACAGCATGTGGCAGATAGGCTGAAAGGGGGCAGCAAGATTAGAGGCAGGATGTCTAATAAATAAACTACAATAATCCAGGCAAGAAATGATGAGGGCCTGGGCCAAGGAAGGGGCAGTAGGGATGGACAGAAGGAAATGGAACTGGGGGAAATTTAGGAAACAAAATCAATAGGAAATAACCAATTAGAATTAGGAGACAAGGAAGACTATGTCCTAGAGAACTGTATCATTTACAAAGGTATATGATGTAGCAGGAGGAAAGAAGCCAAGTGCAGTTTTGGACCCGATGATAAAAAGCAGCAGAAAAATGTCATAACCCATAGAAAGCAAATGGATCCAGGGGTACAAACTAAGCTTGCCCAGATTTAAAAGTGAGAAGAGAACCTAGGGAAAAACCAGCTTTAAAAAGTAGGCTAAGCAAGAAAAGGCTGAGAAGCAGTAGGTAGAGAGATTGGGGAGATAAGGAAAGAGCATTATCAGGGAAGCCAGATAGAAAGGAATTTTAAGAAGGGGTTGCTTAGAAAACATCATTCCCATCCTCACAACAAGAAAAGAGCTGACACACTAGAAATCATCAACTCTTCTTAGATCCATCAGAGAACTGAGGACGTAGGGCAAGCCACCACCTCAAAAACTGGAGCGATCGACAGGATGATAAGAGAACCACCACAATGGGTAGGCATACTTAAAGAGTAATTGACTAATTGCTGGAGTTCAACTCACTTGAATGATAGAAAGTCTTAGAGGCCCAGCCTTACTCATATTTTCATGAATTTTACCTCCAGGAGCCCCACCAGGTTCTCACTGTAAAACACAGAGAAAAATCCCCTTGTCCTCCCAAGCAGAGGAGGAGAAAAGTAAATATTTTCAAATAGTGCTCTGTTCTCCTTAACAATGACCTGTCCTAAGGGGAAATTACTGTACCCTATACAACATGTTTTCATCAAAAAATTAAAAGGCATGCTAAAATACAAAAACCACAGTCGACAAGACAAGGTAAGCATCTGAACCAAACTCAGATGTGGCACAGATTTTGGAATTACCAGGCCAAAAATTTTAAATGACTATGACTAAAATACTCAGGGCTCTAATGACCAAGTAGACAACATGCAAGAATAGATGAGTAATGTAAGCAGAGAGATGGAAACTCAAAGAATCAAAAGGAAAGCTGCAAACCAAAAATACTGTAAAAGAAATGAACAATGCTTTTTTTAGATTTCTATTTTTTTTAATTTTCTTTTTTTATTGTTGTACTTTAAGTGAAAGTTTACAATTCAAGTTAGTCTCTCATACAAAAATTTATACATACATTGTTATGTGACCCTAATTGCTCTCCCTATACTGTGACAGTACACTCCTCCTTTCCACTCAATTTCCCATGTCCATTCAACTAGGTCCTGACCCTCTGCCTTCTCCTCTCACCTCCGGACAGAAGCTGTCCATTTAGTCTCATGTATCTACTTGAGCTAAGAAGCACACTCTTCACGAGTTATTATTTTATGTCCCATAGTCCAATCTAACCTTTGTCTGAAGAGTTGGCCTCGGGAATGGTTTTACCTCTGGGTTGACAGAGAGTCCGGGGGCCATGCTTTCTGGGGATCCTCCAGTCTCAGTCAGACCATTAAGTCTGGTCTTTTTACTAGAATTTGAGTTCTGCACCCCACTTTTATCCTGCTCCATCAGGACTCTCTGTTATGTTCCCTGGCAGGGTGGTCATTGTTGATGGCCGGGCACCGTCTAGTTCTGGTCTCAGGATGATGGAGTCTCTGGTTTATGTGGTCCTTTCTGTCTCTTGAGCTAATAATACTTTCCTTGTGTCTATGGTGTTCTTCATTCACCTTTACTCCAGGTGAGTTGGGAGCAATTGATGCATCTTAGATGGCCGCTCGCTAGCTTTTAAGATCCTAGATGCCACTCACCAAAGTAGGAAGCAGAACAGTTTCTTAATAAACTTTGTTATGTCAATTGACCTAGATGTCCCCTGAAAGCGGGGTCCCCAGACCCCTACCCCTGCTACTCCATCCCACAAAGTGTTTGGTTGTATTCAGGAAACTTCTTAGCTTTGGTTTAGTCCAGTTGTGCTGACTTCCCCTAT